TTTTACGTTCCCAAAGATGATCATCATTATTACTCCTATCTTATAGGCGGAACTTGAACTTATCTCAAATATTAGGCTTAGCCGACTAGTTAAGTGGATCCGCATACAGTATAAACGGAGTTGGTGACAATCAAAACCGATCCACGTTTTGTCCCCAAGTAAGTTGCTGTGTGACAGCAACAGCATTAGTGCTGATGGGCTGAACGCGCTTCAGTCGTATTTGCCAAGTTTGCAAGGATTATCCTGGAGAGTACCACAGGTCAGGGCATGAGGCAACATGTAGCCTTGCATTAGTACTGTTGGGGCTGTCACTAAGCTGGCTAGCACAAGGTGACTATGCAATTAGCGTCCAGGGAGAGCCGCTAAGCTCGAGCACGGCGCTTAACCAGCGATGAACAGACTTCTCGGGATATTGATAATTCGCAGGTTCGTCTCTGCACCTGTAATTGTTTTGAAGCAAGTCAATCGTACTTTCAGCTTCAGCCACTAATTTTTCCATTGTTTTGAGGACTTACTGGACTCTCAAGGCCACTCGAAGCCGCTCACTAACATGCAGGGTACCACATCTATAGTTACCTCGAGTACCCGGACACCCTGGATCCCAATGCATGTCAGGACTATGGCTCACTTGTTGGTTATTCCTTAGACCGAGGGATGGTGTGTGAGGCGGAGCAAATGGCGCCTTCAGAGAGCGGATGGATGCTTGAACACAAAGAGAATTGGTCATGTGGGTGGACCTGCATTTGTTGCAAGATCGTCAAGGCTTTACAACTACATGTTGGCATCATCTTTCATTGCGAATACCGTACGTGGTCTGAGTTATGGTGATGCGACGGGATTGGAGATCATCCGACCATATTGGGATCGATCCGGAGAAGAGGTGAAAATGCCATCTTTGGAGGGGTCTGCAGACAGCTGGAATGAAGTCAGTGGTTGAAATAGATCGGGATAGTGCATTGCCTCAGACAAGGCTGGAGATTTGCCGGTGAATATAAAATGATAAGGTGGATAAGTCCGTCCCTCCACATTGCAGGGCCAGGCTACTCGGCTGATCCATACAAAACCCACGGCTACCGACAAGGATTTTCCAAAATAAAAGAAATAGGATTGAAGAGAACACATGAAGACATAGCTAGAAGACATCACTATTGACAGACCCACCAAACATGTCGTGGGACGGAACATAAGAATCATGGTGATGCGTACATAATACATCACTGGTCGCACGCGCTTCATTCGCCAGTGCCATTATTCGGCTGCAATCGCACGCCGTCATACCTCGGCTTCGCGTCTCAAGAGACCAACTGACCTTTCAGCCAGTTGTCCCTTCCCGAGCACCCGTTTACCGGGTATCGGTCTTTAAGTATAGGCCAACTTCACTAAGGACATCTGCCCGGAGTCCACCTAACAGATCCTGTCATGTTGGGACTCGGGTGTTCACGATCGATACTGAGATAGGTTTCTGTCCGGTCCTGGATAACGCATAATCGGGGCAACAGCCTGCCCAAGGAGCTATGGGAATTGGCCAGCGAAATAAGTATCTCGTGGAGGTCGCCCCCGTCATTTACCCTAGAAGTTCAACATCGAGGCCAATAGCCCGCATGAAGAGGTTGACGTTGCCAAGACGCGCGCTGGCCATATCGGCAGGAAGCGTCTTGCTGTAAGTCACCGTCTCCATCACCCGGTCCCTGTAGAACGGTTAATACAATGTAAACCATGTAGACGAGGGGGTTGAACTTACTTGACCGCAATAACAAGGCGTTGCTGTTGTTCGGGGCTAGCTCCGATACCAACGGCAGCCAAGAACTGCCAAACATACATGTCGTCGCCAGCATTGATCGCGCTGGGGAAGATATCCGCAAAGGTAGGTTCAAGGGTGTCAAACAACACATTGAACTTCTCAACCCACTGCTGCCAGTCCCGCTCCGTAGCCTGCCCAGCTTCCTTCACAATTTCGGCGCGACTGAGAAGCATGGTCAAGATTCCAAGTCCAATGCGGGTCCTCGAGATCATTTGGACATGCGTCTGCGCAATGACAAGCCCCAGCAACCCGATGATGATATTGAATGGCGCCTCGTTGACGTATCCCAGAAGACTGGGCATGACGGCCTGGGAGAAAAGCTCGATGGCTTCCCGAACGGCCAGAGAGGGCTGAGTCTCACCCGGAACAGGCTGGGCGCGTCGGACAACGTCCAAAGAATCCAAGTGTACAACAATCATAGTAAGAATAGTAACGCGCTGCTCCTGATCAATGTGGCGGAAAATGCGGGGAATGGCCTTCTTGCCCTTGGGATAAGCAAGGAAGGCAATGAACGGGTGGGGTGTGTTGGTGTTGGGAACAATGGGTTCCATGACCTTAAGATTGCGCCACAGCTTCTGGTTGAGCGAACGGATCTTCTGTCTCCATTCCATGTGCTTCTGAATGGCCTCGGGATCATTCTCATCCGGCGGGGGAGGCATCGTGCGCTCCATGTCTTCCATATCCATAAGCGTGCTGTATACACTCTCCAGGTTGGTCAGGACTGATTTGCGATCGCTAACGCTCAAATCGGTGTGCGGCTTCTTCACCGTCTTAGCGCCCTCCGAGCTCTCCGGACGCTTGATGTTGAGCATGGGCTTTGGCGTCTTCGCGTTGCTGAAAGAGATCTTACCCAAGCTGCCCTCGATGATAAGCTGCTTATTCTTAGGCTTCTGCTTCGCAGCCTCCACCGCACGCTGGACCTGTTGCTGCATTCTCTGCATGTGGTTGTCGGCGCTCTGGAACTGCCGGCGAGAGCCATGGCCCCCGAGCCTGTTGCCTGTCTGGAGAAGGTATGTCTGCGCAAAGTGACCCAGAGGTTGGTGCGGATGTTGCCGCGGCGCACCCCGGATCTGGCTGTAGACCTGATAATAGAAGTCCTCTGCCAAGACAGCTTCTGCATCAGAGTCCGCCACGTTACCAGCAGCAGCGACTAGTTGCTGAAGCTGGATCCGGGTGATGAAGTTCTTGTCCTGCGGGGTCATCAGTCCGTTACCCCTGGACAGAAGGAAGATCTTGTGGTTGCGCTTCGCACGCTTGGCATCTTCCATCAAGTACGCTACGCGCTGCTCCTCCGTCAGGTGCATCAACTGCTGGGAGTTGGTGATCACGGGCAGTTGCGCGTTGTTACCACGGGGAGCTTGGGGCAGGGGCGGTTGCTGCTGCTGGGGTCGCTGAGCCGCCGGTGGCATCGCCTGACGTTGGGGAGGCACCATGTGCTGAGGAGGCAAGTTGGCATTTTGCAGCATATGAATCGGCAGGTTTGGAGGGAGCGGGTACGGCTCCGGAACCATGGGTGGCTGGTGCTGCAACAGTGCCGGTGGGACACCCTTGGCGAACTGGGCCTGTAGAATCTCAGGCGGCAGCTGCGGGAAGCCTTCGGGCAGAGGGGGCATCTGAGCTCGCTGGAGAGGCTGAGTGGGCTCTGGCATCGACTGCGGAAGGGACAGCGGGATTTGAGCGGGGAGCGAAGATGGACCCTGTCTCCGCAGCTGCGCTTCCACCTCCTCGAGACTCAGCATCTTCTTTGCTTGCGCTACCATCTGGGGCGTGGGCTGCTGCAGCTGCTGCAGCTGTTGCTGGAAATGCTGTTCCGGCTTCTTCGACATGCCCCAGACGCTAGACTTGGCCTGAAGATCGGGGATATAACCCGGGTCGTTGTACTTCTCATAGCCAGACCGTTTGGGCTTCTGGTCCGCAGTGTCTGGCAGAGCAGTATCGGCCGTGGGTTGCGAAGGAGCGGTCGCAGGCGCACCGGGTTTCTGAAGGCTGTAACGGATCTGCTCCTCTCCGATCACATCGGCGACCTGAGCAGTCTTTCCGAAGAAGTCGAAATCCTTTCCAACCGGGCCGGTGTCGAAGCCGCCACCAAACGTGTCATCGTTGAACGCATCCTGGTCATCGTCCAGTTGGTCTCCCAGGCCATCGTACGTATCCTCAAAGTCGATGCTATAGCAATTGAAAGAAAGCGCCGCTGGTCAGCTCCATGGCCCCCCGTTGTCTCAATTGATCTAAGTGAAGCAGAGTGGGGGAGACTTACACGTCGTCATCCTTGTCGTCTCGGAAGTTTGCTGCCAGTCTGGCGCGGGCAACTTCGGCGAACGGATCAGGGGTGTCGAAGATACCCCTCTGTTCACCCGCAGGAGCTCGATCCCTAGGCAGGGTGGTATTAAAGCCGAAGAAGGACATCTTCGGGGGAAGCGGGGGGTGGGGGGGGGAGGCAGTGGGTGTAGGAAGAGGGCGAGAATTACCACCGCGGCATAATTGGGTAGTGCGGGATGAGGTTCACAGCCGGTCTGATATCACCCGCTTTAGCTTAGTCCGCTGTGGCCTGAAAGCCTGAGGCATTAAGGCATACAATTAGCCACCGCATCACGGGGAAGCGGTTGCCCCTTAGTCATCAGGTCTCCTGTTTGTCTCCGTTGGACTCGGAAGATAATGGACTTTGTAGTTATGAGAATGACCCCTTTTTGTATCTATCTATATCACACCATACTCTTAAAACCCTCGGAGTACACGAATAATTGTCTACTTTATGAAGTAGTATCCGGGGCAGTGCTTTGCATGTATTATATTATCTGGTCCATCTCGCCCTATAGGGAGTATGTATGTGGTCCCCAAACCCCAAGGCAGGATGGGATCGACGCCCAGCCAGATGGACTGATACACTGAAGCACCGATCGCATCCCTTCCTTAACGTCATCTTTGGTATAGACCCCTCCCTACGAAAGAGTAAAAGTTTCCTCCTTGTAGATATTAAATGTCAGAATGTATACTTTTCTTATCTCACGCATCCACTGGGTGGCTCAAAATCGGTGCGACGTACGTGGCCCGGCCAATAATGGGGGAAATTACGTCGCCCTCACCATACCGGGGCGAATAGACTAGACTGCCAACGTACGCTGGCGCTTTGTTGACATCTGCCTTTTTTCTCCCACATTTGATCTTCCATCTCCTTGAATATTTCTGTCCCAGACTCAACTTTTTCTAATAAAGAACGGTTGGGGAAGCACGAGCGCCGTGGTCAGGATCGACAAACCAGTGCCCCGAATTGCCAACTAACTTTAATCTTTGCCTGATGCGCCGCGGGTCCATCATCTGCATCGTCGTTACCGATCGCCCATAGATTGATTCCCAAGAATATCTGGGAGGCGCATTTCTCACCGGGCCTGTCACAACTGCCTAGATCGAGAGAGGCCCCATCTGTCGGATTTCTTCCTTACTTACACACTAGCTGTCCGTCATTCGTTTGTCAACTTCATCAGCATTCTGATCCTCACTCTCCGTCCTCCTTTTGTTCTCCGACACTGCGCAACAGGCACCCATATTCAGCCCTGCGCAACCAAGCATTGCTTTTCCCACCTCCTCACCGACGCTTCGGCACAGCGCAGTGCCCTTCACATCATGGCTATAGGGCCATTGCGATATCTTCTGTTCGCCATCACGGTGAGTGTGTCTGGCCCGCCACAGGACCCCTTTCGCATCACTGACTGGCCTCAAGGGGTTGGCCGTCTTCTTTTTCATCTCTAGGAGCGCTATCCCAATCCCCGAGAACATCGGCACCAAGTTGAACCCCGCGACCTACAAAGACACCTTTTCCTCCTCTCACTCCTCGCAAAATGATGCGCTGTCATCAAGTGGACCGATCAAAGACATCCCGACGGATCGCGTGAACGCCACCTTTGTGACCCTCGCTCGCAACACAGATCTTTGGGAGATGGTCAAGTCCATCCGGACGGTGGAAGACCGCTTTAACCACAACTATCACTACGATTGGGTGTTCTTGAACGATAAGCCCTTCGATGACGAGTTCAAGAAGGTCACGTCAGCCTTGATCTCCGGCAATACGTTCTATGGCGTGATTCCGAAGGAGCATTGGTCATATCCCGAGTGGATCGACCAGGATAAGGCGAAGAAGGTCCGACAGGAAATGGGAGAGAAGAAGATCATCTACGGCGACTCGGAGAGCTACCGTCACATGTGCCGTTATGAATCCGGATTCTTCTTCCGGCACCCGCTGATGCTAAACTATGAGTACTACTGGCGTGTGGAGCCCAGCATTGAGCTCTTCTGTGATGTCAGCTTTGACCCATTCCGCTACGTGAAAGAGAACGACAAGAAGTACAGCTTCGTGCTGAGTCTGTACGAGTACTACGACACCATCCCGAGCCTGTGGGGTACGGTGCAAAAGTTCATGGAGGAGCACCCGGAGCATATCGCGGACGGCAACTCCATGAGTTTCTTGAGTGACGATGGCGGCAAGACTTACAACAAGTGTCACTTCGTGAGTATTACCCTTTAAATCTCTCCGCTGGCTTAACTAACCAGTTTGTAGTGGTCCAACTTTGAGATTGGAAGTCTGGAATGGCTGCGGTCCAAGGAGTACATTGACTACTTTGAGACGCTCGACCACGCTGGTGGCTTCTTCTACGAGCGTTGGGGCGACGCTCCGGTGCACTCTATCGCCGCGGGACTTCTCTTGAAGAAGGAGCAGATCCACTTCTTCAACGAAATTGGCTACTACCATGTCCCCTTCACCCACTGCCCGACTGGCGAGCAGCTAAGGCTGGACTTGAAGTGCCACTGCAACCCCAAGGACAACTTTGACTGGAAGGGATACTCTTGTAAGTTCCCCTCTTTCCTTCCGTTGGGGCATCATAAATAACGAGCTACGTACAGGCACGTCCCGGTTCTTCCAAACCAACGACATGGACAAGCCCAAGGGCTACGAGAATGAGAGCTAAGGGGCTCATGACTGATTATATCACTCAAAAAGTAAATGCAAATTCTGTCGTTGCGCAGCGCAAGGTTGGCCCTGCATGTGATCAGCAAAGTCGGACATCTCTTCACCAAGCACGGTGGAGTGGCATTGTCCAGGCATAAAACGTCCACTAACGGGACACTTCCCAGCTCATTACTGAACCATTTCCAATCATCCTGCTGAATGCTGGGCGCAGGTTCACAACATTTGAAAAAAATATTATTCATTTCTTGATTTCCGGACGAGGGTGTCATGTGTTTATAAGATTGTCGGGACCTTCACTTCACAAGCGCGCATCATTCTTTCTCTATATTCCGGGTATAGGGGTTGCAAGGTACAGAGATCGATTGCAGGATGTACTGGATGGAGTCGGGAAGAAATGGGAAAGGAAAATAACTGCTCTCTAGCCAGGCAAGCCTCATAAATGTACATAGCCGTGTTCTAATGATAACAACGATATAAAGATCCGTCAAAGCACGATGTAATGATACAAACAATACCAAAAAATGTAATCAAGCACAAGCAACATCCCTCACACCCAACTAATCCTTCTTAGGCTTCTTCGTACCATACTTCGACCGACTGTTCAACCGAGAAGCAACACCACCCTGAAAGAAGTTAGCAGACTGCCCCCAATCCCTAAAAACCCAATCGCAGAGAATGAACCTACCAAATCCATCGCACCACGAACCAAATGGTATTTCACACCAGGACAATCAGGCACACGACCACCACGCACCATAACGACACTGTGCTGCTGGATATTGTGTCCTACACACACAAACCAATTAGCCTCATTCATCCAATTCCATGATTCCTATATACTATCATTCTCTTCACACCCCCCAATCCCACAAAGACCAAAGCGGAGAGGAAAGTGAACTCACCTTCACCAGGAATATAAGCCGTAACAACCTTCCCACTACTCAACCTAACTCTCGCCGTCTTCCGCTCACCAGAGTTCGGCTTCTTAGGCTTCGTAATACCCGTCTTCAAACACACTCCCTTCATCTGAGACCGGCCGATCAGCGCCGGAGACCGAGAGCGACGTGCGCGCTGCGCAGTACGGCATCCGCGCCGCACTTGGTTGTAGGTAGCCTGGCGGAACGGGGAGGTGGAGAATTGCCGGAGAATGGAGGAAGAAGAGGATGTGACGGAGACCTTGCTTGCAGCAGCAACTGCAGTGGGCGTGCGGAGGACGGGCTGGAAAGGTCGTCGGGGAGCGGCGGCGAGGGTGGTGATGGAGCAGGTAGTGGATTTGATAGCGGCGGGACGCTGGACAAGAGTCCGGAGCGTGCGCAGGGCGAGGGAGGAGACGAGAGGGGCCATTTTTGTTTATATTGTCTCCTGGGCGATGTGCTTTGGCCTGGGGGCTTCCGTATATTGGTTATCGGGATGGGAAACATTTCCTGGACGGGCCTGAGAGAGGTTGTATCACGTGACGGGTGGACGATGGCGGAGGTGGTGGGTGTGGTGCGCCGGAGGAGCTTGCTGCGGGAACGCGCCAGTGGACTGGCTGCCTGGCTGCGATGTCAGAGCTGCTGGTGCTGGTGCTGGTGCTGGTGCTTGCTACGTCGGTACTACCTTTACTGACTGACTGCTTAACTATCCTCCTCCGACTTTCAACCTCCCATCTGGCGAACAACCACACTCATCTAATATTTCGATCTACACAACCATCATTTAATCTCACCCTCGATACAACACATATACCACCTTACAAATAAAACTCCCATCACAACCGTCACAATGGTCCGTCCATCCACCTACTCACAACCTCCCCGATAACCCTTACCACCCCAACCCTCATCCATACAGAAACGGATAACTAACAAAGATCAATAGTCCCTCCGCATCGCCCCCCCCTCCAGCAACCCAACCCAAACAACCAACACGACCACCCGCGCCGTCATCGATCTCCCCCACCCCTCCAAGGGCGCCCCCTCTGCTCCCGGTCTCCCCGACACCCTCCGCGACAACATCACTCTCCAAGCACCCCGGGGCCCTCCCTCCACAGCGACCACCACCCCATCCTCGACGCACCCGCTCGAAGCCCGTCTCCTCGCGTGGCGCGCCACCCAGGATGCATTGAAGATGGAGTCGCTGCGTCGGGCGTACGGTATCGCGGAGCCCGTGCGCCGCGGCATGGAGTTGAAGATCGTGCGCGATGGTTCGTTCAGGCCTGCTGCGTTGGGTGGTCTCGGAATGGGAAATCTCCATGAGGATATTTTGGTCCTGGGTGGTAGGGATGCTGAGGTGGGTTGGGAGGATGTGTTTAAGGGTGAGTTTTTACCTATACCTACCCCCTCCTTCTCTTTATATGTTTGGATGTGTGTGTGTGGGTGGGTGTGTTTTGCTAACGAGTGGGGGTTTAGGTGATGAGTTCCGTGAACCGCCTGCTTTCCATGATGAGATGGAGAAGAGATTGCGTATGGATCACTGAGTGGGTGGTGGTGATGATGGTGGTAGTGGCAGTTCTTAGTCTGGTCTGGACATGACATGGCATGGCATGGCTTTACTTAACTCATTGGTTGGCTGTTGAATGGGTTGTTATGAATCGGATTTTTTAAGTTTATTTCTTTTATTTCTTGATACAGGCGCTGTCTGCGGTAAAGTATACAATACAGTACAATAAATGGTGGTTACATCTACTCCAACGATTTTGAGTAAGCCTACGTTGGTTGAAAGGAAAGTACTACTACAGGCTGAATAGCCACCATATGTGCAATCTTTGTACATTATGTAGTTTCCGCTGGCCTCAAACCAAGGAAACGCTATATTTGACATCAACCTGTGGGTCGCACAAGCCCCGTATCTCAAACTAGATTCAATCAGATGGCTGGCCAGATCGGAAGAGGGCCACCAGGGTCTTCCGTGAGCACTGCAAATTCGTCGGTCCAAGCCCTAACGCAACAGAAACACAGCAGAACGGCAAAGGACCATGTAAGCAATTGCAAGAGATAGGCTTCCAATATGTGAACATAAATGCAACAAATTTGAGACCGGCCAACGAGACAACACAGGGGGCGGGAGAGCAAGCGAGAACATGAGCTTTAGGGTATATACGAAATAAGCGGAAGCGGAGCAGCATCAAGCAACTCATGGAACTATGCAAGCCAAACGGTGACCACTTGGTGGAACAGACAACGGGGTAAATGTCAATGCAGCGATGCTGGTAAAGCGATGATAACCCATCCATAACGCCGTCTCATTACGGTCAGACAGCCAACCACATGCAATGTCTTGCGGCAAAAAAGGCGAACAAGCGTGAGGGAGGACCAAAGCCTACTCGAACCCAGCAGAGAGAAGCAACAAGGCTCCAATTAGGGGTCTAGAAGAAAGCTCGTATCGACGAATCTTCATGTGGCACAAGCAAGTGAGCTTGGCATTGGTATCTGGGAGGGCAAAGCGATAATGGCAGTTCCCGAGGACGCAAGCAAGGGAGGACTGCCTTGAGTGTATGACTTCTGTCGTCTCCTTTCTCGGTCGGAAACAGTCCGATTCATTATTGGATGATGCAGCGACAGCCAGGGCTACGCTCACTGGACTCCCGCTCCCGGGTGTACTGGGGTTTGGACTTGGCGTCTTCTTCGTCAACGATCTCCTGGGGCTTCACAGTCATGTGAACCACATTGGGAGCATCCCGGCTGAACTTGGAGTCTAGATGATAGTAGATCAGCACCAGCACCAGCACCAGAGAAGCGGTAGAAGTGACAAATACCTGATAACGGGGCTTTGTCATCAAGCAGCTTGCCGAATGAGATGAGTCGGATGGAGCTGGGCGATGATGGCCGCGGCTCCCAGTCTGCCAGGAATCATAAGTTAGCCACCCGCAACTTCCGAGACAACTCTGGGCTATTGCACGCATACCTTGGCGCCATTCCCGCCAGATCAATTCCTTCAACGTGTATACACTCATGGCGAAGGGATCGTAATTCTCTACATTGACCGACCGTTTCCGTAGGTATTTCCCATCGATCTTGAAAGGGTGTCGGGAGCCTGTTATCAAGAGCAGGGTGATCACCAAGGATGGGCCCGTGTCCTCCTCCTCTTTGGCAGCCTCATCTGATCCCTGGGACGATGGCTCGGAGCCAGCTGCCGGAGCCTTCGCCTCATCGTGTTGTTCCGGAGATGCGCTTGCAGATGGAGCCGCATCTACAGGGTCCTGCTTGGGAACGGGAGCTGGCGTATTGTCCTCATTATTGTCTGTGGGCTTCGCATCCACCGAACTGGGCTCTTGGCTCTCGGCCTGGGCGTTATCGGGATGAGGGGCGGCACTAGAAAGCTCCTGGGTTTCTGACGATGGCACGGCAATGGTTGTGGACTGCGAAGTCAGGTTGGAGTCGGAGGTGGGCGACATGGGATCAAATTTGGGGTCTTCGGTGACCGACATGGTTTGTTCTGACACACCTCGTGAAGCCGCACGAGTCAGATAGCGCGAGGGGAAGAAAGGAAGGCTAAGCTAGCAGTTCGAAATCGATGAAAACTTTAAAAGAGAGAATAGATCGCAGCGAAAATTCCGTTGGGGATAGTTGAACCGATATGGGAGTTGACTGATGAGGGTAAAAGGGGGGGAGGCGAATCAGGCTGGGGATTGAAGACAGGAGCGGATGAAGCAAGGCGATGCGCGCACGGAGGAGAGAAAGGAGGGCAGGCTGAGAGAGGGTGCTAAATTAGGTAGGCGAGGAGGAGTTTCCAAGGGTGGCCCGAACAAGAGACTAGAACCTTGATCGGGGATGGGTGAAGGGGGCCATGCGACCCGAAGGAGACCAGCGAGAGCGAAAAGGGGACGGCGTGAGTAGTAGTGAGGAGACGAGGGACCACGAAGGCGATCGGGCGGGCCCACGAGTGGAGGAGGAGAAGGAGGAGGAGAAGGAGGAGAGGATTGATTATTACCTTGTGTGTAAGGCTGAAAGGGAGACTAAAAAAGGTTTGTGGCAATGAAGAAGATGGGGAATGTATAAAGAATGGGAGAGGGGGAGGCAAAGGGGAGGGGGAAGGAGGAAGTAAGTACGGAGTAGGAGAAGGGGACAAAAAGACTGGATTGATTGATTGATGGATGGATGGGATGGACAGGGAAAGGGAGAGAGAGAGGAGAGACAAGACAGACAGACAGACAGACAGAGAGGTCCAAGCCAGTCACTGCTGAGGGGAGCCCCGATCTGGTTGGTTGTTCCCCCGGGCGTCACCTTGGATCGGTGGGCCACCGCCCATAATTAACGGCCCTTTCTACTCTTCCTTCATCCTTCTCCCTCTTCTTTCCCTCTTCCCCTTCCGGTTCATCTCAATCATCGTTCGTCAGTTGAACTTGGCTTTGCATGCAGGTGATTCTTTGGGCGTCAGCATCGGCTTGAATGGACGGAATGAGAATCAATTCCCGCGTGCAGCTGAGGCCTTGGTGGCAGCGGATCCTGGTCGCTTCCGGACATATCTGCGTCATGAGTAGGTCGTGACACCTGTCATGCTGGAAATCGCTCCTGTTGACTCCATAGAAGCTGTGCGATAAAACTACTACACATGGTTTAGATCTCTACGCTTAGCTTAAAGAGATAAGCAACTCCCAGACAATTCATGTTGTTAACTGGACCCAAAGCATGCACGCGGAAGATAAAGATGTTCATTCATCAGATGATAGGTTCTATCTAATCAGTACAAAACGAATGCACCACTCCGACCATATGCCCCTTACACACTATACATGGTGCATTAGCGCTCTACACTAGAGTATGCCGCCTTGCTAAGGCTGTCGATTGAGGGGTTGCACCTGCTCAAGTGATCGTGTTTCATACCACCCTGCATACAACCACCTTTTGAAGGAAAACGACGAACTATCCTTTAGAGAGCTCGAGCGCATCGACGAATTGATATCCGTGCGCTACTATGGTGCTCTTGAGATAGACAAGCAATGACAAATTATCGCACATCAGCGATGATCGTTGCTTTACTTTGCGCGAGCACGTGCTGACGTGACCTGACATCTATGCAAGATCTTTAGACCAAGTGTTGGCCACGCCGGGACATTCAGCGGGGTCAGTCCCCTTGTAGCAGAACGAAATAGCTAAATTAAAGATAGGCATAGAAATATACCAGAAAAAGACATGCTACGACGACGCAGTCGATTGGTCTGATTGACAAGCGTCTGAGACATACTACAGTCTAGAAGAGATCGCCAACACTCTAATCACGATACTATTTCTAGGAGCTCTGCAAAACCCTATCTTATTCTTCTAGACCTTTCCATGACTAATCTTGCAGAAACCTAGAAGCAAGAGGTTCAACTGCCTGCTTCGTCAGCTATGATCGAGATATGCGACACTGGAACTAGCTAGTCACTCTTGTCTATAGGACGACACCGACCTCATCAGTGCCATGTTAAGGTCAGGGAGGAGACTATCGAACTTGTCAGCCTTATACCAGGTTAGAGGCACTGAATACGATAGACCTAGCAGTTCAACTAGAAATACTACGCTTGAGTAGTATCTGTCATCTATCTCCTGGGGCTGTTTTACACTAGAAGCGACTTTGTCTTCATGAGTGAACAGGACCCCGTTGCCTCAGGCCATTAAATATAAGTGGGTCGCTGATCAATCCACAGTCATATTCCAACTTCGAGAACTATTCTAGATCACAGGCCACCAGTTGGTTTGTCATCGAAAATCATCCCGTCGCGTACACCTGCAGAAAGGTCCAGATATTATGGACTGGAACTTGTTTGATTCTTTCATGCCCCCACCGTCTAGGCTTCTACTTGACCACTACATGATCAACACACTGGCACCCCTCCGTGGTGACTGTTTTCGACAGCTGGGTCTCGCTTAATATACGAAAATAAACCAGAGCTATCTAGACACAGGATAACGATGACGCTTCATGTCTCGTTTTGGAATGTATCACGGCTGAATTATATGGATTGAACTGGAGATTGTGCCATCGCAGTCGCTTCATATTCCCGGCTGGTCGGCTATATACTGTCGCATCTGTCGCACCGTCATAGATACACTGAAGCTCAGATACTCCAGTGCTAGCCTTTCCAAGAGTACCGATGGCTCTGATAGATGTTAAAGATTGATTTCAAGCTACCGTCAACGCTTGAAGACTTCCCACCAGGGAATCTCGTACTTCCTACTACGGGTCTGGCTCAAGAGCTGAATAGGAGCATCTTATAGGGATATCACGGAAACTCCTATAGATAGTCAGCGCGGATTAAGGGCAGATACAACCTCGGCCAGAGACTCTGGTAACTTGTTCGTACACAGCTTTGTGCTCTCGTATATCCTTTGCGATGTCAGCACAGATCGGCGAATGATGCCATACAATGCAGTGTCTAAAGCCTACGCCACGGCGGGGCTACCTTCAGGGATTGTCCAATGTAACATGACTAGACTTTCCCAAAATCTATGCTACCGTCTTGCAGTCTCTGCAGACATGAAATCACATTCTCAATACGAAGGCACTGATAGGAAATGTAGCAAATCAGTGGTTGACCACACATCGAGAATTCCAGGCCAGGGGGTAGAAAGACTCAGTCAATGCCAATTCACAGAGCAATGGTGATGAACTTCATACCAATCTCACCGACTAAGTTTCGCCTCCTATCCCCCGCATAGGAATTGTCGAGTCGTCCAAGGCCTGGCAGTCAAGCGATGGTGTTTCCCCCATGGCAATAGAAGCCATTGCCGAGGCCCCTTGGAGGCGTTAGAGAATCTATAGTGTAGCCATAAATCACAATTTTTTAGATGTAGTATGTGTAGGTGCCAAAAAATCCAATACAATGGACGCAATGTATTGCTTCAGGAAAGGGTTTTGTCCCCTTGGGAAGAACTGGGATTCCTTGAATTAGCCTTCTAAGTGGAGAGAGTTTCTCGACGTGTTTAAAATGAACTTAACTCTGAGGAATTTGGATCCAGTAAATATGAAGTAGATGACTTTCTGAAGGTTGAGTACGCGTACTAGGAATGTGGACAACTACGTTAATACACAGTAGTAAGGGAGAGATGTGTAAGACATTGTATCAGATTTAACTTATTACAAGAGGCGAGCGAGGTAAGTGGGATCAATTCATTTGGAATGACTAATTCTCAGTCGCGTCTTTGTGAGAGTATTTAGAGGGAAGGCAGATACAAGCATAGTGCGTTGCTGTTTATCTCATTGTCATCCCGCCATCCGCACCTCCCCACCTCACACTCACTGCCACTCGACTGAATCATGCTAAAATCATCAGAAAGCAGCATGGTTTGAGCAGTATGTTCATCTTCCCAAATTTCGGTCTTGGTGGGGCATCATCTACATTCCGCAAATATGATTTCTGTACGAACCATCTATATCCGAAGGGCTCGTGGTCACGCCACACCGATAATGGTACGATCGACCAACTAGCTTGATAAATTAGCTTGATAAACTACAGTCCTCTTTGACATACAATATCAAATCGATTATAATGAGCCATTTTGAATATTCCAGAGCAAAAGCCTTGACGATTTGACATCATGATCGCTCGATGAAGGGGCTTCATATCGGTGAATGTATTACTGGATGATCGACGAACTTTTGCATGTTTGCTTGACCCATTACCCATAGGTATCCGACTTAACCGGCAGCTTTATCCTGTCTAGACTATCTCTCTGCTATTGTTATTGTGAAACTTGGTGCTAATTCGAGAACAGCCCGGCGATCCGTCGTCTCCTGATTGCCTAAGATTCCTGAAGATGCCAGGTCACCAAGAACATGTCCACGTGGACAAACAACCACCATGCCATGGTCCAGGATTCAGACATGGCTTTATGCCTCGCATTTGCAAGTAGCATTTGGTGGACTCGAATAGCGGTATCCGTGGTATCTTTCCTGCCATGTTCTCGCCCGGTGACCGGCCTTGACAGTGACATCATTCTTGCCTGGATGTGCGTCAATGGTGTCCACGCCCAACAAAGACTCGTCTGAACTTGACCCAACATTTTGACCGTGAAGAAAAGAGGGGCGTCGTGAGGCTGGAAGGTAAATCATTCAAGTCCGGTTTAACCTCGAGGGGTAGCCTACCCCTCTGAAGCATTCCTCTCACCGAGGCATCCCTGAAAAGGTTTAGTTAACTGGATTGGGATAGAGAACAAGTAGACAGCAGCCCTTGCTGTCACACAACCCGGACCTGATACGGATATGCAGTGGCCCAGACCCAAAACTTCCCTGATGTAATTAGCTGTTTACGAAGCATGATCTGGATTTAAGTCATATGGCCACCCTACTGCAGGCCTGATTCCATATAAATGGCCTTGCCCCGTCACCCTAATCCTCAAACAGCGCCCCCTAACTCACTTATGCTGATCACCCGGGAAGGCTTAATCTTTCCTAGAGATGCTTCGACAGTCCCTCTCAATCGCAAAAAAGGCGACTCGGAAGCTCTACACTCATGATGACTCCAGTGACCTGAGCCTGGACTTGAACATCACAGAACCAGCGGTATTTGTGCCTACGTTTACGAACAAGCCGGCTGTCCTTCGGGGTACCTGCCAGTTAAGATTGAAAAACAATCTGACGGTAAAAAGGTTGACTGTGAACTTTCGTGGGACTAGTCGTGTGACATGGCCGCATGGTGAGGCTAACGTCTTGCTTGTAGGACCATCTGTCTTCGAAACTAATTCATGACGATCTCTCACAGGGCTTCATGACACCCAAACCGTGACAGATAGCACGTTGACCTTGGTTAGCCCACAGGCCTCGGATCCCGCACTTCCCTGCTATTCAAGCGCCCTGTCCGAGGGAGGAAAGTCCACATGGCATAGGGATAAACGCAAGCTGCGGAATGCAGCTCCGTCCACGTTATGTATGGACGGAACACACGGAAAGGCAGCAGGGCCAAAATATCAACGTCTACCCGCTGGAACACATACGTACGAATTTGAGATGGTGTTACACTCTCATCTACCAGAATCAATCGAGATTCGACAATCCCATGTCCAGTACCGGGTTCGTGCGTGCGTCGAGTGCCCGGGTTTTCTGAGGCGAAGCTTTGCCAAAAAGCAGGCTATTGCTACGGTTCACTGTCCAGCTGAAGACGATGTGGAAGACGCTGAACCAGCATACATTGCGCGGGCTTGGAAAGGGCTGCTTCAATGTGGAATCCTCGTTTCGAGGCGAGGCGCTCCCCTCGGTGACCGGCTGCCTGTTACAGTATCCCTTACGGAATCGAGGAAATCCGAGTTCCGGGGCCTGCAAGTTTTTCTCTCGGAGAACGTCCAATATCACCAAAAGGATGGACTTGCATGCTGCCCGGGTCCTTTTAGACGCGTTATATTATATGAAAAAGTGGAGAAAGCTGGGCCCACTATGTCGCTCCACCGGGCCGAGAATGTTGATGATGAGCGGCCAGAATCGGCCGCGAAGGGTGACGGAGCACTTGCGAAGTTGGTCGGGGATCCCGAAATACCAAGTGGACTAGAGGCTGCCGAAGAGGAGACTGTGATGGACCTTACCTTGCAACTCCCAGATTGCCATTTACATTGTGTATCGACTGGAACGCAAGGCATGCACTATGACACCAAGTATAAGAATGTGAGGGTGAGCCACTGGCTGGAGGTAAGGCCACAAAACTTGGGAGAATGACTCGAAACGGAAAACAAAAGGAAAATCAAACTAACGAAGAGCGTGTAGTTTGTTTTTATGGTGTCCCCAAGGGATAATACCCTCGGTTCAAGCAGCGAGCGCATTGTGCAAAAAGTGGCGAAGGTTCCACTCGCACTTCGGTCCTGTTATGCTCAGCATACCAATGCTTCTCTGCCGGCGTATGGTGATACCTAGGAATTCCGCTGTGGCCGATAGGTTCGGTTCGTCCACACACAAACAACTACGACCACACCACCACCCACCATCATCTCCACCCCCTCCGCTCAGGAATGATTATAAAGATAAGCATTAATAAAAATGGGGTAGGCCGCTGGTCGTACCACTGGACCGAATGCCGCGGGAGGTCGGGAAAGCTTCGGTGGCACCGTCGATTGGCGACCGTTCCCGGTGGCGATCTCCAGCCGTGTTCAAGCCTACCCGCGGCCGTGGCCTGCATCACAGTCTACCGAGATCCACCTTCCGTCTGTGAGTGGATGGTTGAAAACTCTTCAGAGAGGTTAAACGCTTCCAGGGACAAGGGAGGCCCATTATGCCCAGAAGACCCACGCTAAACCTGCCCTTGCACGGGCCTTGCCTCCACTAAGTGGGGATCTAGTGAACCCTGTGTGGGCCATCCGGTTTATCAGGCGCCATGAAGTTGCATCACTCGCTGCGCTTTCCGACGATCATCCACTTCGGAATGCATCATCCTCACATCATCGCGCAACCTGCCCCGAAACCATCGTGCTGCTCACCGAAGATCCTGTCGTGGACAGTTGGCGGTTGCCCATTCGCACCACTGGCCTGTGATGTCAGTCGCAGGTCCATACCCATGGGTGAATCCGCTGAGATGTGGAGGGCTAAGACGCTTCCAATCTTTCCCCGTGGGTGTGCCCCCCTCTGGGACGGCTCAAGTTGCGCTCCACTGTCGGTGGCCGCATGCGGTTTTCCATTCTTTTAAGTCTGCTACATCTGCCAGTTCGTTTCCTCTCCGCTGTCGCCTTTTCTCGATCACTCTTCCTCCTTCCTTTTCCCTCTTTCCCCATCTCCTCTTCCTACCCCAGTTCCCCGGATTTCGTGCGCAGACCCAGCGCTGTTTGGTTTGATCGACTCGGCATCATGGCGCCCCCAAAGTACGCCGGCATGTCTGGCCGGAAACTATCCCTGTTTCTATCAGGCATTGCTACGATGGGGTTTCTGCTCTTCGGTTACGATCGTAAGTTGTCGATCCTAGTATGTAACCATGCAAGGGCAAGCTACTAACCAATATCACTCTAGAGGGTGTAATGTCTGGTATTATCTCGGACCCCGCGTTCAATAATGTCTTCACGGCTACGAAGGACGACAATGTCATGCAGGCCACTGTCACCGCTGTCTACGAAGTTGGTCAGTAAATGTCACCTCGGCATCAAGTGTATGTCAAGTCACTAATCCTTGCCTTGCAGGCTGCCTCTTTGGTGCTATCTTCGCTTTGATTTTCGGTGAAACATTGGGTCGCCGTCTTATGGTCATCTCAGGCGCTTGGGTGATGATCATCGGTGTCATCATCCAGGTTACCGCCATGCCAGGCCATATTCCTCTGCTACAGTTCATCTTCGGTCGTGTTATCACTGGTATCGGCAACGGCATGAACACCTCGACTATTCCCACTTATCAAGCCGAGTGTTCTAAGACGACCAACCGTGGTCTCTTGATCTGTATTGAGGGTGGTATTATCGCCATTGGAACAGCGATCGCTTATTGGATTGACTTCGGTGCCCACTACGGCCCGCCTGATCTCGTCTGGCGCTTCCCCATCGCATTCCAGATCTTCTTCGGTATCTTGATCATTGTCGGCATGACGTATCTTCCAGACTCTCCTCGATACTTGATCGCCCACGGCAAGGTTGAGGAAGGCACCCGGGTTCTTGCTGCGCTGGCAGATGCAGAAATTGATGACCCTCATGTTCAGTTGGAGAAGCAGCTGACGCTCGACTCGATCAGAGCGTAAGTTCTTTCGATATAAGATCTGATGGCTAGCAAAACTGACATTGTATTTAGGTCCGGCTCCTCCAAGGCTAAGTTCCGTGATCTGCTCACCGGTGGGCCTTCCCAGCATTTCCGCCGGATGATTGTAGGATCATCTTCCCAGTTCTTCCAACAGATCTCTGGATGCAATGCTGTCATCTACTATCTTCCTGTGCTGCTGGAACAGTCTATCGGACAATCACACAACTTTGCCCTTTTGATTGGCGGTGTGAACATGATCTGTTACGCTATCTTTGCCACCTTCTCTTGGTTCTTCATTGAGAAGATTGGTCGGCGTAAGCTGTTCCTCGGTGGCAGCTATGGTCAATGTGCTGCTATGATTATTGTTTTCGGATGCTTGATTCCGGGTGATTCTGAGAGCGCTAAGGGAGCTGTCTTTGGCTTCTTCCTTTACATGTGCGTCTTCGGTGCCACCTGGCTTCCCCTGCCTTGGCTCTACCCGGCCGAGATCTCTCCTCTCAAGACCAGATCCAAAGCGAATGCCGTGTCTACTTGCAGCAACTGGCTATTCAACTTCACTGTTGTCATGATCACTCCTGTCATGGTTCAACACATTGGTTGGGGTACCTACCTCTTCTTCGCCGCTTGGAACGGTCTCTTCATCCCCGTCATTTGGTTCTTCTACCCGGAAACTGCCGGTCGCAGTCTGGAAGAGATCGATTTGATCTTCGCCAAGGGTTACGTTGAGAACATGAGCTACGTCCGGGCATCGAAGGAACTGCCCAAGCTCACCGACGAGGAGATCGAGGCCAAGGCCGCTGAGTACGGAATCCTTGGCGACGAGGAGAAGGCTGAGGAGAGAATCGCCGAGAAGGATCCTCCCGCGTCTGCTGAGTTCTCTCAGTTCCAGCCTACCCAGCTGTAAAGGGTGTATACCACACATTACCACCTTCCATTACTTTGATCTTTGAAAATTTTCTCGCATGATGATATGCTTTGGACATGAGTTTTATACCATTTTGTTTTGATTTTTCTACCGAGCCGTTGCAGGACAACCAAGCTTACGCGTGTATTATCTGGCACTTGGTGCTTATTGTGGCTCTTTTCAAAGCTTCTTGGCTATGGTCCAAGGTGAGGGAAGAGGAAGCACTTGTTCATAATTTACGCGTGGTTGTTGAGCAGCCTCGAGATGTATTATGGTCATCTGCGTGTAGATGTTATGTCCGATAGAGTGATCTATAGATCTCTGTTTGCTCTTGGCAGTTTGATACCTTTTGATTGCTAAATGAACAATCAAACCATGTCTTTGACAATATGCAAAATCCATTCCATTATTAGGGTAACAATGTATATCATTGAACGACGATCCCAAATTATTGCAAAGCATCTATTACCAGAAACCTAAATTATCAAGTCTATCAGAAGACTAGCGGCAGGACCCATGGATCAAAAGCAAACATACCTGTAGTCTAGTCCGGGCACTAATGTTCTAACCTGCAGATCCGAACTCTAAATTCATCCTCCGCTAGCGCCATCGAGTTCAATAACCAATAGCTCACTCAAGCCACATTGGATTGTGGATTCTGAGGACGGACATGCCATTGACTGCATGCATGATATATTTAGCCCTACTGTTCAATAGTGTGCATGAGGGAACATACCAGAACAACTTGTTGGAGACGAAGTAGACACCAGTTCCGACAATGGCAACCTTGGCGAACCGCCCGAAGCCTCGAGCACCATGACCCCGAGCATAGAGATGGCGAGCGTAGTTCTGATTAAAATAGGGAGTTGGTGAACGCATATTGGATGTGATTTATACAGATAATAATAGTCTTTTTGGGCGATAGTAAGCCAGTCTATGTCCCCATGGTGGAATGATTGATTTATACTTGGTGAAGTTCGGGGTTCGAGAATCCTTCGCGGGCTCGGCCTCGGTCTTTAGCGCTGGGAAGACCGAGTTCTCGGCTTTTGACTTCAGTCAGCCTCATCATGAACATCACCACCATAACATAATCACTATTTCAGCTCCTGTGAGCAAGCTGGTTTAGGCAATTGGCATTCTGTGTGTATAATTTTGGTCCTATTAACCCTGTTATCTAATGGTATGTCCAGACTAACACCATCCAGCTGCATACGGCATCCATGACCGACACCGAACCTCGCAAACGTCGCCGGCCCGCCAAATCGTGTGAGCAATGCCGCCAACGCAAGGTTCGCTGTGACCGCAATGTGCCCTGTGGGCCTTGCACACGAGCTCGCTCATCTTTGGGTTGCTCTTATCGTCGGGTTAGTCGTTCTCCGTCACCGACTGATCACCAAGCATCTCCCCTTATCTTGCATGAGCCGCAGCGCAATGCACGGGGCTACCCGCTGCCATCTGGGATGCCAGATGGCTCAACGGGGTCCCTGGACGAAACGCCTCACATTGGACCTCAATGCGGTGGCAAGGAGTGCGCCTCGTCACAGCTAGGATCAACGATCCGGGACCTCCAGCTTCGTTTACAGCGCCTGGAGGAACAATTAACCAGCCCGGACATAGCACGGCCAGCGGCCCCAGAATCTGATATCCAACAGGTACTTCGAGAGCTGTGCGACAAGGTCCAGAGCCTGGAGCAGCGACTACTGTGTACGCACTCAAGCCAAGCACCGAAAGCAGAACTGGCCATTGCTGCAGCACCTCCTCGACTGCACTCCAGTTCCAAGAAGATGAAGCTGTTCGGGCCAACTCATTACATGCACACGATGGATAAGGTGCGAGCCCTGTCTCCATGATGAATCGGATGAAGAACTAACTATCTATAGCTCCAACTCGTAGGCTCACTGGAAACTCGGGGTCCCCAGCCACTATGCCCCGAGCTCAAGGCAGAGCTAACTGCTCAAATCAAAGAGCTTCATTATCTCCGTGGATCAGTCAAGGCAGCACAAAGTCCCCGGTTGAACGACCCTGTGCCAGACCTGCTCTCTACCATCCCAACCAGATCGGTGTGCGATGAGCTGGTGCAATGCTACCTACGAACATTCGAAAGCATCTATCGCATCGTCCACATACCCTCTTTCAATAAAGAATACCAACAATTCTGGGACCACCCTCCAGCAACACCCACTCCATTCCTCATGAAGCTGGCATTGATCATCGCCATCGGCACAACCTTCCACCCACAACGAGGCAAAGCCGGCAAAGAATACAATACTCGACTCATCCAAACCTGGATCTACGCCGCCCAATGGTGGCTCACAGGCCCAACCGAAAAGAACACCT